TCGTCGATGATATCAATCAATTTGTTCATAGATTTCAATACTAATGGCATTACTATATATAAACCCTTTTCGGTCATCGATATTAAGTTCTTGTTCTTAAAGATCTGTCATTTGATCCAAAAAATCACATTAAAAATGACATAAATGTGAGACGAGATGACAAACCGATTGACTTTTATGACTGCCCTCTAAATGGGAACCAATTGTTTGGTTGATATTCGTTAAGACAAGCATTTGGTTCCAGTAATAGACACTATTATTACGTGTCTTCTTATGGATCCACTTCTTGGCCAACATGTGTCGGCCAATCATCTTTCGTCTCAACAAACCATTCATTTTAGACATCATTTCAAACAAAATAAACAAACGATTGGGAAATGCATTGAAAGCGTGAGCTCTGGCTGTTTGTTAGGGCAACACATGTACTGAACAGCTGTTGCCATACATTGCCATACATTGCCTAACACTGTATTTCACACACTATTTCACAGCCCATAGAGTTGTCAATACATGTAATGACAACTAATTATCGCAACTTTTACTTCGATAACAATTTTACATATATTTTGATAGAGTTATACAAATGAGTTGTTTGTAATGATTGGACGCCAAATGTCATTCACAGTGAGTGAAGCCAATGGCATATGATTTACCGGTTTGTTATAAATATTGTTATTTTATGTAGAAATGAATGATAAGATTGTGTGAGTGAACGAGTGGTGCAGTGTTTGGATAATCAATTGTTTATATGCTTTTCAATGTTTATATAACTCGTAAGTAATGTTTCATTTCGGTCAACATTTTTGTGGGCAAAACTTTTATTCCCGTATAAAACAAGTTTGTGAGGCAATGGTATGTATGGTATGTAATAGTGTTGTGGTGTTGGGAGAGATGTCAGGCGTGTGTTGTGTTGTATAACACTAGGGATGGGGGGAAGGGATGGCTTTCATGAGTGCTGGCAATGACTCTCAACTGCAGCCAACACTAGTGTTGAGAGAACTCACAGACATTGATGTGAAAGCGATTGAGTGAACACTTAATGGCGTAAAACCCAAACGACACTCACTTTTTATTACCAGTCAATCAGTCCATCGCTTCTTAAGGTAAATATGAGTTCATTTTGATTACCATTTCATGTATTATATGTTCAATGAGTGTTCACGTGTTGTATGGCTTAACTGTGTCTCACTGTCCCGATGTGTGTCCACTCATGTACTCATCCGCTATAGTAATGAATACCCATTTGTTATGCAAACTATTTGTTTACCAACACTGAGAGCAGAGGGAAGCCATCGCCCGCCCCCTCCCAGTCATCGCTATTGCCATCAATTGATGGATGAGTTGGTGACGAGTGGTCACCACATTTGCCACGAGTGGTCAGTGAATGCCATTTCTAGCCGTCTTATAGAGAGATAGGATGGTATGGATTGGTATGCATTGGCATTACGTGTGCATCACTTGAACCCTATTTGCGATTTTTTCTCGCAATTTATTTATTAGGACTTGAATTACCTCTTCTTCCTATGCCTTTGCCTGCAATTGATTGGGTTTTGTGTGTGTTTTGTTGTGTGAGATATAAGTTATGCGTTATTTGAATGGGAATTGAATGCATTTATTTCTCATGTCTTACATAAGAGACTATGAAATAAATGATTGAAATGACAAATAGTGTGGCATTTTGTGAAGCATTGGTTGTAATGCTTGTAATCATTTGATATCATAATATTATAATCTATGCTATGCTATGATATGCACAACAAAAGTGTTGGTATTTTTATTGTTAAGATTTGTATTTCTTTATATTCAGTAGTATTTGATATTAAATTTGATGTTGAAATGTATTTTAATACACATTTAATGATAATATGTAGTGTTGTTTAATACAGAGTAATGTATAGTATAGTTATGTGTGAGAGATAGTAAAATAAAGCAACAAAACCGCATATTTGAGTCGTTATTGGTATCAATGAATTTAAAAGGTCGAGAGATTTGCCGATAAAATAGTTTATAATGTGTATTGAGTTAAACTCTGCTTTTTTAGATGTTAACCAAACATTTAATTGATTTTCACTATTTGTCACATTTATAATCACAAGTCTGTGGCAGAAAAGTGTCGTCAAAAAAACTCAAGGATTTGTTTTGCATTGAAATGAAGATATATTTAGTTGAGGAAAACTTTTTGACTATATTTACATTGAAATTATATTTACAGTAATATTTTGAATACAAGAATACATATAAGTTGTGGTGAATGTGTCTTAAACACGACTAACAGGTTAACCAACACTTGAATTTGAATTGAGATCCGAAATGACATTTCTGTTTGTGTGACAAAAGCATTCATATATTTCTTATCAACAAAATTGCATTTAAAGAGCATTTAATTATTTTAGTCGAAAGTCTTGAGAAGTATTTTATAATTGTGTTTCGTTTACAACACTGTATTCTCGTCTCTAATCTATTGATAAAAGTCATGCATTCATTGTGTTATTGAATAGTATTTTTTCAATTTCTCAATGACTTTATGTAATTTTTCAAATGCACCCGTATTTTCATATTTTCATTATTTAGATTTTTTATAAAATATAAATTTTGCATTTAATGCCTGTCTCTCTATATGTAATCAAAAACTCTTTAATAATATCTTTAATACAACATTAATATTGCCTTTTATTATAACATAACTCACGACAAGCCTTAGAAATACATTACATTTTGTTGAGTCTATTATTCAATGTTTGTCTTCTTTACGGGAATTCATTGTTATTTCAGAAAAAACTATTTTTAGTTCATATATCGATTGCAAACCTTTTTTTACTATATTTAAGATTAAATCTGTAGTAAGAATTGACAAAAACACAACACTTGTAGTGATTATTAGGCAGTTTTTATTCAAAGTAATGAAGTGTTTGCGTTAATTATAATTTCATGCGAACTTATAGTATGGTTAGTAAACGGTGTAAACATTATATAATAATGTGTTTCGTAATATTTTGATTGTATTGTTTTATTTGGTAATACAATACGAGGGAAATGTGGACCAACTTTGTATTGACTCAATTTGTAGCAAAAAAGCAATGAGAAAAGTGGCGATTGTATGAATTGTATGCATTGTCTGTTCGTTTCCCTCCGCTATGCAAATGCCATGTCTTTCGATGTTTGAGTCAATCGTTTAGCGAAATAGATGTTACACTTAATGGCAAACAATATTCACCCGCTTTTTATTTGATTTGTTTTTAAGGCATTGTATTCATTGAGCAGTTGTTTTTGCATTCATCGCAAAACACCGCACCCTATGATTACCCTATGATTTACTCCATCTCTTCTAAAACTTTCATTTAATCGCTTTTTATTTGATTTGTTTTTAAGGCATTGTATTCATTGAGCAGTTGTTTTTGCATTCATCGCAAAACACCGCACCCTATGATTACCCTATGATTTACTCCATCTCTTCTAAAACTTTCATTTAATTAACTTTTCTTCCGTTTATTGATTTTCGCACTCTTTATGCACACGTATTGTTAGCCATGATTGGGGGCCAACCCTTTCAGCTCATGTACTTTTAGTAGATTTCAATCTATGAAATGATACCGTATTTTGTAGTAAACGGTTATATAATATATAATATACTGTAATTCTAATTACATTAATACACATTACGTTTTGCTTATTACCAGAAATAGTGAATTACAATTTGAGGTCATATCTACTATACATGTAATTGTGGTTTTCATAATACATACCCTTATCCTATCATTGAGTCCCTCTTCCCACTCAATTGATGCCACATTTATCTCACATTAATTTGCATTTATTTCGAAACTAAATCTACTTTTTTGGTCAATCAGGAGATGATATTTCTTCATAATATTTCTCTTTATGCCTTAAATTCAATATTTGTCTGTTTTTGTACACATTTTGTTTATTCAAACAAATATTTGATTTGTAAAAAAATTTGTTCTCAATTTAAATCTAAAATTTACTTTTATTTTTTAAAAAGCTCTCATTTTTGTTGTGTTTATAACTACAGTATTAAATTTACAAAATTAGATGTGTATTCTCTCTCTCTCTCTATCTCTCTCTCTCTCTCTAATGATAAAATGCTTTTTGAATCATTAACCGAAAAGGAAATACGTTTTGTGGAAAAATATTGTTAAAAGTCTATACTATAGACTCCATACAAATCCATTGTTATTATGAATTACTATTTTCCAAAGAAAAAAAAATCGATTGAATTGAAAAATTAATTTATTTTCCAATTTAATTAAAATATGTTTTATTGATCTGACTTTCACTGCAATACCAAATGATAAATATTTAACAAATGAGAGAGGGGTTGGTCTATGAAGTAGATGGGGGTCAACACTAATAGCGTGTTTGGAGTTTTAACCCACATTTAATGCTCGTGAAGGAGGAGGTGGACTGCAATTTGTCATTTGCTGAGCACTAGTTTGTGTGCAATTCCTTAACTGTTTCTCAAATGTTAATCAATTACACGTATTCTTGAGTCTTAACAATAAGTTATGTTTAATATCTATTTTATAGTGAAGTCCGCAATTGATCTCAATTCTCATTTGTTTCTTTGAAAAATGTCTTGTTTTTAATGAGATGTATATATTATTTGCTATTTATTAAGATTTTTACATAAAAGGCAGTAAAATATAACACAATATATGCAAGAATTTCAGAAAAACAAATATTTCCCAATAAACAAATGGGAAATACACTTATAATATGCACTTTTGCGGTCTATTTTTATTACCATAATATCGATTCAATGGCTATAAATATAATGTCTTATTAAATATTCATTTATCGATATTTTTATTGAATTACATTAAACGATATAAATCAATGAAATTGCGTTAAAGTTGAAGCCAAAGTCATATACATTTCTAATTAGATTTTTATTTTAAAAAATGTTTTCTACTTTAAGGAAACTTTTTTTCATAATTTCAATGAAATTGAATGATTAACTATAATGATTGTGAGTGTTTGTTGTGAATCTTTCGGTCTCTCCCTCTGTAATACATTACGCAAAACAATACAAAATCCCTCAAAACATAACCAAAACATAACCAAAACATTCACAATAATTAGTAAATTTGCGTTATTTCATAATCAGATTGAATTAGACGTAGAGCTGAGTTGATGTGAAGAGATGTCACACCATAGCGACGATGCGATGCTTATCGCGGGTTCGGACAGCTTTTGGGAACCGGGAAACTATAAGAAGACCACTAAACGAGCCGAAGACGGCTCCAAATTATGCACTGATTTGACTCTATTGATCAAAGAGAGGGCAGATATCGAGCAAAACTATGCCAAAAGTCTTCGCACGTGGTCTCAGAAGTGGAACCAATTGATCGAAAAGGGACCCGAATATGGGACGACCGAAGCCGCGTGGAAGGCGGTGTTGGCTGAGGCCGAGCGCCGGTGCGATCTGCACACGAGGGTTAAGGACCATCTGATACAGACGATCAGCACTCAGATAAAGCAGTGGCAAAAAGACAACTTCCATAAGTCGATGATGCAGATGAAGGAGAAGAAGGAGTTCGACGACGCCTTCAAAAAAGTATTTACTACTTAATTGATTTTCAATTTGCGATTGTATTCACACGTTTCGACATTTGGGTTGAAACGTGTGGCCATTGTTTCGCGTAATGAATCGATTACTATAATTGTTGTGTTTTAAAAAAGGCACAAAAACCGTGGGCTAAGCTCTTAACGAAAGTAAACAAATGCAAACTCGATTACCACAACGCCTGCAAAAACGAAAGGACTGCCATTAATCAGGAGAGAAACGCTTCTGGAGATACTTCCCTATCACCCGATCAGGTATTTGAACGATCGGTGTTTCACTCTATTCACAGACGTTTGTATTGACCATTGGTTTTGCTATCGGTTTAAATATCAGGTAAAGAAACTTCAGGACAGAGTAACCAAATCGAAAGAAGAGGTGATAAAGACTAAAGAGAAATACGAGGCGGCGCTCAGAGAAATCAACGACTATAACGCCAAATACATGGAAGACATGACTGTAGTGTTCGAGAAATGTCAGGAATTCGAAGAGAAACGACTAAATTTTGTTAAAGAGATGTTGTTTGCAATTCACGGCTGCCTTAATCTATCACAAGTTCCAGAATTACCTCAAATATACGAAGAATATAGACATACCATTCAAAACGCCGCCGCAGACAAAGACCTCAAGTGGTGGTCAAACAACTTTGGCGTTGGAATGGCTATGAATTGGCCTCAATTCGAGGTAAACCACATTCGTCTAAATGATTGCATATTTATACCATTTATGTCAAACAAATTTACCGCATTTTACAGCATTTTCTGCATGTTTTTATTTATTTTTGTTTTGTTTTCTCTTTTTGTTTGCTTTATTTGTTAATCGATTCGTTGATTAGGAGTATTGCGAAGAGTTTCGAGATATAATCGGAAAGACTAAGAAAAGCACTTCTGTTCCCGAGAATGGTATACAACTTGTAAACCAACAAAAATTCAACGAAGAATTGCCTGTAATTTTGTTATTAAAGCAATTTCTAAGGCTTTTCTCCTCTATCCACACCTCCCCTTCCCTTCACTCTGTTTTCCATTGAATTATTTATTAATTTTTCAAACATTTTCCACATCTAATGGCATGAATTTATTTCAATTATTTATAAGTTTGCGAACTATGATCCACACTCTTCTCACACTTGACACACATTTTTATAATAGAAACACGTTTTTGATTATAATTCAAAACCATTTAAATTTTAATTCTTGCATTTGATTTCACACATTATTTATCCCACAAACAAATCGTGGAAAGTACCGTATTTAAATTATGAAATATTTAATCTGTACTTATTTATTCATTTTGAATTTTTTACAATCGTTTATATTTAAAATTTTGGAATATAATTTAAAAATTATTTTTTGCCGATTCCTAACTTAGTCCGATATATTCAATCAGAGTTGACTTAGTTTTTTGATCTCAACATTATTTTTAAAACTTTAAATCTTATCAAAAATTTATTTGATTTCAAAACAGATTTTAGTTATTTTTGAATTTTATTTTGTAGTATTCTTTTAATACATTGTGCGAAAAGTTTTTTATGTTTAATGTATTGCATCCGAAATATTTTATGACATTAATGTTGCAAATCATTCATGTCTTCAAACCATTAACTTTATATGAATTTTTTATTAGAATGAGTGGAGGTTTTGAAACAATTTTTTATGTATCACATTATGTATCGCTTAAATTACTGTTAAGTAATTATTGTTATAAATTAAGAAATTTGTGTTACATTTTGATGTCTTTGTGTGTATAGTAAGCAAACTATAATTAATTCCTTGTTTACAACTTTTATGGCATTTATGGTACTTTTGGATGAAATCTTGCCATTAATTATTAAAATATAAAAATTACAATTGAATTGTTATAGGAATACACACCTGAACTCAACAACATCTCTAAAAAGGAGAAAAAATTATTTTCTGAAGGTTTGAACGCAAATGATATCACACTTTTGGACCATAGAATGGATATTCACAAGAATTCTGTTAATAACGGACACAAAATAGAAATGCCAATCAAGCGAATCAATCACCAGAGGTTTATACTTTGATTTTCTCCTTAATTAATTGTTGGCATTTAATATATGCATACATTATATAAAGTAATGGCAAACAAGAAGCGAATCCATTCGATGACGACCACGAAGACTGGGACGACTACCCGAACGACGCTCTCGTCGACACCGGCGAAGCGGGAGTTCCCGTTCGGGCTCTCTATGACTATAACGGCGCTGAAGCTGACGAACTCACTTTCAAACAGGGTATGTCTTATTGTCTAAGCTTTTTACCATAATTATTGACTCATTTATGTATTGAATATTCAGGCGATGTGTTTGAGAAATTAGAGGACGAGGACGAACAGGGATGGTATGTATTGATTGATTTGTTAATGAAATGTTAGATTAATTGATTGATTGAATTGTGTAACAGGTGTAAGGGTCGTAAAGACGGTCGCGTGGGTTTATATCCGGCTAATTATATTGAAATCATCTCTAATTAATAACACTTCAAAATTACTTAACAATAATTTATTTAAATATTGAAAGTTTTTTAAACGACATTTTTGTTATGATTGCATATTATATAACATTTTATTATACATATGACTGACACTGTTGTCACAAATCAGTTGTTGTTTTATACAGAAGACATTCGGCCAATAGTTTTGCCCATTTTTAAGACGAACTAACAATTCATTGTATATGAAAGCATTCATTTGTTATACAAATTACAGAAAAATAATATATACTTTATATCCATGTTTCCATTGAAAGGCTGCTTTTGGTTGTGGACTCGAATTATTGGGTCATTTGATTAATTCAGTAATTTAGGAGTTTTTATTTAAATGGTTTTTATTTCATTTTTAATATTTCTATTATTATTATTATTGATATTTATTGGATTTAAAACCTTTTGTATATAGTTATTGATAGAGATTTCTAATCATTTTAAAACAAGTGTTTGATTTGTAATTGAAAATACAAATTAGTTGTCAAAGTTTTTTCCCAATGCATTGCCGATAATTGCATTTCCATGTAATCTAGTATTTGACTATTAAATAAAAACTATTTTCATTAAATGTAAAATGTAACATTTATTTTGAGTGTATGTTTGATTAAATGTTGGTAAAAATCATAAATAATTCAAATATTTTTATTAAATGATTGATATTTAATTAAATAAACATTTTTAATTTACTCCAAATGTAAGTATAGATCATTTGTAATGTTTGTTTGTTTCATACAATACATTCTCTAATAGTGTTTTATGTTTAAGCTTTTATGAGCATTCTTTTAGATATAAAAATGATCACAAATTCCTAGAATTGTTTATTTCGTATAAAATAAGAAGTTTTACAAATATTTTCTTATTGTTTGCTATTTCTATACAATGAACACAAAACATAAGATTTATTTTTTGTAATACCTATTGTTATTTATTTGGAGATATAATGTACTTATAGTGAGAAAAACTAATTCAACGTGATTCGACATGAGCATTTACAACTACAACATGAACATTTATTCGATGATCAATATTTCAAACTTTCCCAGAATTATGTTTAATTTTGATTATAAAGTGTGAGACTTTCCATACAATCCATTGCATGTATTTGACATTTATTTTAATTATTTGTAGTATAATTAAATACCATAATTAATGCCTACAACGAGTCTAATCTTATTTACACAAATGTCTAAAATATTTCCATTAATTTGTGTAGTTTTAACACAAATATTATATAATTAAACAGCAAAATGTATTAGTAATACAGTATTACAACATTATATTTATAAAATTATAATTTAACATATTTGTTGTTTTGTAGATCGCTTGACATTTATGCAAAATTCTCTAGAATTGCCATATTTTCCATTTCAATATAAATTAGCACATTTACAATAACTAAAATTAACAATCAGTTATAATAATACAGTAATCATGATTCATAATGAAGAATTTACTAGCTAATTAATTTTTAAGATGACAATATTATGTTATATTTTAAGATTAATTAATATTTTGTATGCATACCTGTAATACCATATTAATAATGTTTCTCTCAATTCTATTCACATTCTGGGACTTGTAATATGACGACTAGTATTTTAAGACATAAGTTATATCTAAACTTAATTTATAGTTATAAAAGTAAAGTATCTTTATATCCCATATTATTTAATTGTCATTAAGTTATGACAGTTTATGATTTACTCCTAATTGTCGGCAACTTATTATTGCAGTTAAGAGATGTTTATCTTTGCAATAGACATAAAATCATCTTTATCTCAAAAAGTTTAGTCTTACTTTAAATAATTGGTTGGAAATAAACCAAATGCATTTTATTAAAACTTTAAATAATATTTTAAATATTTAATGTAAAATCTTTAAATTTAGTTATAAGAAAACAAATGATAATTGTATTGCTATTATATATGACTCGGAAATCAATATTTGTGATTAATTAAGACATTTATTCTTATAATGACTACAAATGTGTACAAAACTTTGTCTGATTTATAGGACTGGGAATTGGATTGTTATCTCATTTCTTGACAAAACTTATTCTTTTGCTTTCAGTTTATTAGATCTCAAGGATTAAGAAATACATCCTTTGCAACATATTCTTCTACTCTATTATCCAATTCTATAAAAATATTATATAATCATTAGTTATTTACTTAATTAGTCTCTCTCTCTCTCTCTCTCTCTCTCTCTAATATAACGATAATATTGAATGAATATACATTATATTTTGATCGGGCATTTCATTGATCATTAATCAAAGCACTTTAAGAAATAATGTTCAATACTATCCCTACGGACCACGTATTCGTATAATATATGCCAAATAGTATATGAAATCAATCATATTTTAATTAAATAACTGTTTTAATGCTTTTCTAAAATTCAATTTAAGATGAATTAAAGTGTAAACTAAATTATATCAAATTTATACATGGTCAATTTGATTATAAATTATACTATTTGTTTATATATTATTTCTGATAACAACTATTACAATGTGACAAAAATATAAAATATTTGTTTGTGATAAATTATAATTTATTATAACTTTTAATACCGTGTCATAAATATTCAAATAAAATGATAAAACACATGACATGACATACAAAGTATTTGATTTAATGTAAATATTGTAAATTTAAAAACTGGATTATACTAAATTAAAATGAATAAAATTTTACTGTTATTACTAATATAACTACGAGTTCTGTAATGTTTTATATCCTTTGAAATAAAAGCCCTAAAAAGCAGAGCAAATGTGAATCCCATTTGAATGGATCGATAAATGGGAGGAATCGAGAGCTGTATTCCTTCACAACGGATATGACTATTCCTTAAACAGTATTTCATAGATAAGGCGATATATGACATGAAATTGGTTTCCATTATCTGAAATAACAGTACATTTTCGGTGATTGTCTGCCAGAAAGACAACACACATATTGTTTGTCGACGAATACAGATATCGATATAAAAAGAGCATAATTTGAAAACATATGTGAANATGACATGAAATTGGTTTCCATTATCTGAAATAACAGTACATTTTCGGTGATTGTCTGCCAGAAAGACAACACACATATTGTTTGTCGACGAATACAGATATCGATATAAAAAGAGCATAATTTGAAAACATATGTGAATTACAGCGAAAAATGTGTGACTCTTTGGTGGATGAGGACGAAGGCTTCCTCTATGATGAGGACAAAATGTGAGAACACCTGCCATTAGTATCACTATTAGCAACAAATTTGGAAATTTATAATATTTTTTGTTTCATTTTGTTTGGTTTTAAAATATATATTTTTTGTTAAATTTTCAGTTTAATATTCATTTAAATTCTGTGCTCTCAACACAAGTATTAAGTTTTGTTTTCACTTATTTTTAATTTTATTTTGCGTTATAATTGAATATCATTTCTAATGTCAAGACGTTTAGCAGATTTTTATGACCGCTATTCGTATGCATATTACGAGCCGTTATCTCATTTAAACCATAATATGCATGAATTGTCTGATAATTGTTGGCTCGAAAATATGATTGAAGACAGAATGTATGCATTCATCCCATCAAATATATATACAATTATACATCAATTAGTCATAACGAGTACATATATGAAAATGACCATGCTCATACTTCAATTGTTTTCTCCATTAGGGGAATGACAGTCACTTCGGGAAGTGTTGTCATTAAGAAAGACGAAAGCAATTTAATTGGTATAAGCATTGGCGGCGGTGCCCCTCACTGTCCATGTCTTTATGTGGTTCAGGTATTTGTCACACAATTTGCCACAAATGTTGAAATATTTTGACAATTATATTAAAATTAATGATCTGTGTTGAGGTGTTTGACAACACCCCCGCCTCTCGAGAGGGGACCCTCCAGTCGGGCGATGAAATAGTGGGCGTAAATCAAACGTCAGTAAAGGGTAGCACTAAAGTAGAGGTCGCGAAACTGATCCAATCGGTCAAAGAGGAGGTGTCCATCAATTATAACAAACTACACGCCGATCCCAAACAGGCTTTCAGAAACCTATATTAGGAGTTCTTTTACTTTGTATTTTACCAACTCTTATACTCGTGTTGGTGACGGCTACGTGAGCCTGAGTCAGCCCGATATGAAACGTTACCAAACTATCTGTCAGTTATGAAATATAAAATTATAATAGTTTTATAAAAACTTTTTTATAATTAATTTACAGATAATTTGATCAAAAAATTAGACGAATTGGAAAGAAATGAATACATATATCGAGGTCTTATGGATCACACGAAACATGTGATTAAAGCTTATATAGATATGTGTAATATTTATAAAGGTATCGATTCTTTATGGAAATTCTCAATTAAATGTACAAATATTAAACATTTTGGTTAATTATATAGCATTTGGAGATATATTTGCTGAGATCGGTGTCAAAGAGCCTCAGCCACAGGCGAGCGAAGCCTTCTCTAAGTTTGGAGAAACTCACCGATCAATTGAAAAGTCGGGCCAAACAATGCTTTCCTCTATTAAACCGGTAATTATTTGATACAATTTTATGACATAATTTCATTTTTGGTGTTGTATTTCAGATGATAAGCGATTTGAACACCTATTTGAATAAAGCGATTCCCGACACAAAGTTAACAATTAAAAAGTATGCGGACGTCAAGTTTGAATATCTGGTAATTTGTAGACATTTGTTCACTATTTGAAACAATTCTCATTAATAATGATTACTTGTTTGCAGTCGTATTGTCTGAAAGTGAAGGAAATGGATGACGAAGAATACACTTATCAAGCATTACAGGAGCCGTTATATCGGGTCGAGACGGGTAACTATGAGTACCGACTGATACTCCGGTGCCGACAGGACGCCAGATCCAGGTTCGCCAAACTGAGATCAGACGTTATGGTAAAACTGGAACTACTGGACCAAAAGCACGTCCAAGACATTGTGCAACAATTACAGAGATTGATCTCTTCGCTGTCAAACTTCCACAATGACTGCCATTTCCTACTGAAAGACAATACCATATTTCCCATTGAACTGGATTTGTCCAAAACCTGCACTTTTCAATATCCGGATCCTTTGGTGAGTCCATATCAGGACGAACCGGACGACGACCCCGACGATGATGTGCCGCCTTTGGACACCACTTTGGTTCAGGGCTTAGAAGCAAAACCATCGGAGAGTCTCATTGAAGGCTTTCAATCACTTCAGACCACATCTCTTGAGCCCAACACAACCCAAACGGATCTTTTAAATCTATTTAACTAACTATTCATATTATTCTTGTAATTGTGTTAACATTTAAATTATGTTTTTTATATCTAAAAAATGTTTAAAAACTATTTATTGAATGTATTTATTAATATATAAACATAAATAAAATTTAAAAATTCAATTTAAAGTCTTAAATAAATTCTACATTATTTAGCGATTAAATTAAAAACATATTTAAAACAAAATTACAAAAAAAAAGTTTTCAAAACTTTGAGTCCAAAAGTGAAGTCAATATTTGAGTGAAAATTCAAAGCAAACGCCAAAAGCATTGAAACCAATGAATGAATGCTTGGATTGAATGAAAAACATATGATTTTCTTGCGATTTGTTTTGCATTGAATTTGACGCTCAAAAGTGTTAACCATTACAGAACTGATCCAACGATGACAAGACACGCCCGCAATAACACAGCGGGTGCTGTGTATTCATACCACGAGCGACAACGAGACGCCGGGACTTCGGGTTATGGCACACAACGACTTCGTCTGTCCAAAGATGCCATCAAAGACTTCGACGCCTGTAATCTCACTCTTCAACCCGCGAGACATCCCGTCCTCACGTATGACAAGACACACCTTATTGTCTCCGATTATATCTCTTATTAACGTATCATTGATTTGATCCAAAGGCCCGAAGGCTTTCTCTACGACAAGGAATCGATTCTTGAATACATTATTCACCAGAAGAGAGAAAACGCCCGAAAACTCAAAGAATACGAGAGACAGAAGAAGAGGGAAGAGTCGGATGCCATCGAAGCCGTCAACATTGAGCACTCCATCAAAACACTCAACTTCTTGAAGACCGAGACAACTATTGTGAACGCAGGCAGTCGTAGACAATCATCCGCTCCTTCTTCGTCATCGTCCGCATCGGTCGGCGAAGTGACGTCGAGTGTCGGCTCCGGTATCTCAAACATGACCAGTGGTCGAGACAAAGGTTTGCCGAGTTTTTGGGTGCCATCGATGACACCGCAGTCATCGAAGACCAAACT